GAATCATTCCCCTCCACGCTATCTTATCCAGCGACATATGTCGCAATTTTTGATAAGTGGTGGCGGACCATCTATGTATGTTCGTTGCCACGAACGATTATAATGCTCTATACACGGACGACAGCGTTGCACTTTAGGATCCGTTTTTAAATGTTCGAGTAATCGATCCCACAGTAGCTCCACATAATTCTCAAATTCCTGTAGAAGAATAATCTTCGGTATGTATTGCAATTGCTCGGCGGTCGAGAATCCCACGTTTATCCGTTAATAAGAAAAACATTTTTCGCGATAACAACGACCGCTCTTTACAGTAAACTGTGCGAATCGAACGCCTGTTCGGGGATATAAATAGTGTCGAAAAAATTCGCTCGCGTTACATCGCGCACGCGTGTTACACAAGTAAATGCGATTCGTACGACAATCACGAGTGATAGGAGTGTCGAATCTCGACCGCAAGACGCGACTCGTGTCTGATGAAACGGTTGGAGAGATTCGTAGACACGGCCCTTTACCAAATACAATTCGTTGCATCATCTGTGGACCGTCCAACTGTGGTAAAATGAACGCTTTGATAAATCTGATAGAAAGTCCACATGGTGTACGTTTTTTCGAAAACGTGTACGTGTATTCGAAATCTCTCTTTTAACCGAAATATCGATATTTGGAAGAACTACTCGAATCGATAAATGGTATCGGCTACTACGCATTTTCCAACAATCGTGACGTCATACCACCGAAGGAGGCACTTCCCAATTCAATATTCGTATTCGATGATGTGGCTTGTGATAATCAGAATACTATTAGAGAATATTTTTCTATGGGTCGACATACGAACATTGATTGTTTTTATCTCTGTCAGACGTATGCAAAAATACCGAAACATTTGATACGCGATAATGCAAATCTTTTGATACTATTTAAACAAGATGTACTACTTAAAACACATTTATAACGATCACGTGAACACTGATATATCGTATGAGAATTTTTGCACGTTGTGCCATTTATGTTGGCAACACAAATATTTGTAAATTACCACGGTTTTGTGGTAATAGACAAAGATAGCGCATTACGCAATGGTAGATACAGACGAGGATTCAACGATTTCACTGTAGTGTAAAAAAATCATCTGTAGTGTTTTGCGAAAAAAAATGAACAGTACTTCTTTGACGTTACGATAAGATGGTCAAAACGAAAAGTATCTCTGAACGGGAGAAAACAGCGAAACTGATCACGAAGACACGCGCGTCGATTCGTAAGAAACACAGAGCATTGAAGACTGGCATAATGGAGAATGAGATCGTTCTGGAAAAACAATTAAAACCTATTATCGAACCGTTGAAACAAATTGCTGGAAACACTGAACGTGGAGGTAAACCATTTGAAACTAAGTTTATGGAGAGTACAAACAAAAGAATAAACGTGAGTACAGCGATGATGAGGATGATGACGACAACGACGACGATGATAATGATGCAATTCCAACACAAATTACTCCCCGGTGTCTTCCATGGAACAAATGAAAAAGAAACGATCAAACGTCATGCCTGATTCGTCCATAATTCATTCCACACCAATAGAATCACAACAACAACAACAACAACAAGTAACTCCTTTTGACTTGCAGGACGAAGAAGTTTTTAAAATCGGTGATGATCCATCGCTTGAAACGTCTGTCAGACAGGTGTTGAGCACACCTCCAGGTCGTCAGAGATTGCAAAGTCAGTTAGGACCGTTAGGAAAAATATATGTGAACACTCTTTTAACTGGTAATGCAAGAAACGAAATCGATCTTGTCTACGATAACTTGTCTTACTTTGATGAAAACGGTACGATATTAGGTAATAAAAAATTTGACGTAGATACGGACGACACTATAATCATAGACGGAGTGAGGTACAAAGGTACACCAGGTCTATACGAGCTGATCTTCAAGAAGATTTCAAATGACTATCTACACCGAGAATGATAAACAAACATACAAACGTATATTATTGACGACGAATGCTCACAGACGTGACAATAACGCTAGAATGTCTATTAAGAGTAACAAGGAACACAAATACAAAAACATTATCGCCCCGCTCTTAGTTACTCATAAAACCAGTGGCACGAGTATGAGTTCAGGTATAAAGACAAATATACTATCCGCTATGAAATTGACTGACAATGAAATAGATTACGTTCATTGGAACGATCCCAACGAGTGGATCGTCTTCAATTGCTCGATGCTTCTCGGCGAGAGGGTAATAACGTTCACGACAACGAAATATTGTCGATAATCGAAGAACTTCGCGAAGCTGGCGTAATTATAAATTGAATCGTTGTGACAAAAATTGTGACAGTAGTCAGGTTCGCGTGAATTCGATATGATGTCTGTGAATAAATTTGGTATGCCTATGAGGAGAGATGATAGCGATGAAATCGAAAAGTCGCGATCGTCGATAGAATCTTTACAAAATTACGTACACGACAATGGGCTTTGTCTGAATCCGGATCATTACGACGCGAAGGAACGAAAAATAGAACATGTAGCCGCGGCGGAGTTCGACACCGATGTGGTAAACAAAAGTTACGTCGAACGCACGCTTCGAGATACGCGAAACGAGATCGAGGAATCATTTAGAACGATAAGGAGAGATACACAGGAAGTGCGTACCGATATAGAAAAAATGCGAAGAAACGTGGAAGAGATTCAGCATCTGAATCGAAATGTAACTGTACGAATGAAAAATGTAGTGACTAATGAGATACTGGAGAAATCGTTTAAAATGACAGGGAGAGATATGATCGATATGTGCGCTTCCGGATATGTAGAAAGATATCTCGAACGATGTGGAAAAAGTGCGAAACAATGTGGAGGAAGTCTCGAAAAGTGTAAGCGCGCTATCAACGAAAGTGTCTAACGAGATTCAACGTGATATAACTGATCTGCGTCAACAAATGTATAATATGGCGACGAAGAAGACGTTAGAGAAATCGTTTAAAACGACAGGAAAGATATAATCGTACTCGCGCTTCAGAAAGTGTCTAACAATATTCAGATACTGCATCGCGGCGTAAGTGATCTGCGTCAATAATATCGACGAAAGTGTGTAACGAGAAGGAGATTCAGCATCCGAATCGAAGTGTATAGGTATTTAAACGCATCTACAGTTATCGCATCTACGGAAAGATAAAAAGATATGCGCAAAGCTCGTTTCCTGTCATAACAGAGAGAGATGAGTGTCGAGAAATGAAAACTCGTGAAAGAACTCCACGCACCCGCGCGAAGAAATTTTCCACGTCGTCGCGTCGTGGTGCACGATCGCGATGATTTATGGCAAGCCGACGTAGTCAAGATGCGTCCTTACGCGCGATTCAACAAATGTTACAATTACATTTTAATAGTTATCGATGTTTTGAGTAAATACGCATGGGCTCTACCAAGAGCAAAAATGGAAGCAACGTAGCCGCAGCGTTATCTAAAATATTTCACGAGGACAAACGATACCCACAAACTTGCAGACGGATCAAGGAAAGGAATTTTACAACACTACCGTGCAAAAAAAATTGTGAAGAGATACAACATAAATCATTATTCGATGTACTCGGTGATGAAAGCGTCGGTAGTGGAACGATTCAACCGTACACTCAAGAATAACATGTGGAAAATGTTCACGTTAAACAGCTCATACAAATGGATCGACGAGCTACCGCGTCTATTGTCAGATTATAATCATCGTAAACATCGAACTATTGGGATGCGACCGATAGACGT